AAATACATTCTGGTCACCAGATTAATCGTAAAACTGTTTTTATTATGTTTATCGAGTTCAAACTAAATCCTCCATCAGATATAACTTCAACAGATGTTCAAAAATTCCCAAATTAAGAAATCCCTCGATCAATATTTCTACTTTATTCATTTAATGATGCCGAATGGGGATTCGATTTGAGGATTGATTTGTGGCAACCAGATTGTGGTAAATGATAGACATTCCATTTAATGTGTAATGGTACTAATTCTTACTAGAAGAACTGTTGATCAGTGTTAGATTTTTCATAAGGAACTAGGTGGTGATCGTATAGTTCCAGTCTTCGAGTGAGACTTTTTATAGTTCTATATGATGATATCTATTGAGTTTGAGACAACATTAGATGAAAAATTCTTCAAAGAAATCCCTAAATCAAAATGTCCCTAAATATAAATCCCTAAATGAAAAAATCCCTAAATAAAAATCCCTATTTGGCTACCAATTTTCATTTTGTGGATATAATTACCCAGAAATGTGGATTGAATTTAGGGATACATTCAGGGTACCGCAATTTGTGGTAAATGATAGACCTTCGTCTTCCGCCGCTACCTTTTTTTATTTGTAGCAAACGCGGACAAGTCGAACATTTTTGTCAACAACGCAGCAGCAAGAATGAAACCTGCGAAATTTGTTGAGTCAGTTTAACAGAATAGCATACGTGCTTCCCTGATCTCCAGTGTGTTCACTCTCAAGAAAAACATGTTTTCACAAAGCAAGAAAATCGGAGACTATCATTCAGAGTTGGAAAAATGCATCTATCTGCAATATCCTGCGACATAAAACGTTTCTTCTAGAAGATGGTCTATAATGAATGAGCCGTTCAGTCTTTTGATTCCAACTCTTTTCCTTTTGATCTTTAGAACCGACCCTTTTGCCAAAAGATACGCTATGGAAGTCAGTACGACATACAGGTTAAACCTATTTTTGTAGAAAGCTAAGAAAAAAAGTTGATCAAAGATTATCTAGCACATAAATCTGTCCAACTTCCAAAGCTAAGGGGTGTTCTTCAAATGGCCATTGTTCGTATTTTTTTTATAATTTTTTAGTAGACTAATTTCGAAATCAAAATGATTATATCATAAGATGCAGCGTGAAAAGCTCTACAAGTTACATTGAAAATCTTATTTTATACTTGCAATTTTCTCTTCAAAATGGTCAAAATCCTGTGTGACCAATTTTCTACTCTGCGAAGAAGACTCATTTTTGATACACTACGAATTTATTCTTGCTTATTTTATCTTTTTAATACCTAATGTACTTTATTAAAAGAAAAGAAAATATATCACAAGATGCACTGTGAAAGACTCCACAATTTACTAAGAACAACTCACTTAGAAATGCACATCCTTTCCTTTTAAGATATGCAAAATTCTGTACGATGAAAAAACTACCTTATCTCCGGAGTTGAAAACTGATCGCTTAGGTTTTCTGACCTTTTTCAAGGGAAAAGTGCAGATATAAAATATAGTTTTTAATGCGATTTTCAGAGCTTTGCACGCTGCACCTTATGGTATACTTTGTTTTAAAAATACACATAGTCAATGATTAAAAAACCATACAGATGCCGAGCCTACATGAAATAACCGCTAGACATCGGTTAGCTTTGAAAGACGGACAAATTTTATATGCTAGATAATCTTCTCTCACCTTTCTCTCTTAACTTTCTACAAAAATAAGTTTAACACGAATATTGTGAAGAATTTTGCAGTATATCTTTTAGCAAAAGAATCAGCTCTGCAATCAAAAAGAAAAAAAGACGCATTTAAAATACCGAAAGGCTCAATCATTATGGATCATTTGTTAATCTATCGAACAAGTCGAAAGCTTTTCACAGTTATTATTATGAGGTTTTGAAGAATAAAAAGTTTGTTGAATTTTTTTCACTTTTTGTTTTTTTCTCATTTCTCCACTTTTTTCTTAATAACTGTGTACCGATAGAACCATAAAGATCATCGGTTATTGTACAATTATTTCAATTTGTTTCAGTGCGTTGCTCACTGCATTAGATACACATCCGAGTGATTCTGAGTCGGAAAAATAAAATTTCAGGTCTACAGATCGTGATTACTGCTGCTAATATCTTTTACCAGTAAATGTGCATTGATTAAATACTTACTTTATTGAAGCTTTTTGCCCATTCATTATTAACTGATGATTGGAAATCTTCATTATAAATGTAGACTGCTTCTAGCTGTGGAAAACCGTGTACCACACTTGTGATGAGCTCAGCATAACTTTTAGAGACGATTAAAATAATTTTTCGGTCTGTAGCATCGGTCAAATGAT